CTTTCTTTCTTTCTTTCTTTCTTTCTTTCTCTCTCTCTCTCTTTCTCTTCTCTCTCCCTCCATCCCTTCCTTCCTCTTAAAGTTTTATAAATTTAATTTTATTATTATTACTATTTAAATTTTTATTTTAATTTAAATATATTTTGATCAGATTCTACACCTCCCTCAAGTCTTTCCAGATCCTCGCCCCCTCCCTAACCATACAACTTTAAGTTCTTTTTCAAAACTGAACAAAAACCTAAAACAACAACAACCCCTGCCAAAGAAAACAAAATAAAACCATGTCCCAAAAGAAACAAACAATCAAAAAACCCTCCACACTGTGACCAAATAAATACACACACACAAAACTATGGAGTCCATTATATGTTGGTCAACTACTCCTGAACATGAGGCCTGCCCTGGAGTGCTTGGCAGGATTACTATATTGCAGAAAACTTTCCCTCTCTCAGCAGATATAAGTGACAGTTCACTTGTTAACCTTTACCCCAGTGACTAGATGATCATTAATAAAATAAATCTAATAGGATAGAATAAAAATAATCACTTTAGACTTAAACAGGAAAAACCAATGGAAGGAAAACAGCTCAATAGAAGGCACAAAAGTCAGAGGCATAATCATTTGTTTACTCAGGAATTCAATAAAAGCACTAACCTGGGAGCTATAATATACATGCAGTGGACCTGATGTAGACCTCTGTAGGAGCTGTGAATGCTGTTTCAGTCTCTATGAGCTCATGAGCACTTTGTTCATGTTGATTTAGAGGTTTTTTTTCCTTGCTGTTCACCTTTCTCTCTTGGTCTTACATTCTTCTTGCCTTCGCTTCTGTTGTGTTTCCTGAGCTCTGTGGGGAAGGATTTGATGGAGACATTTCATTTAGGGCTGAGTATCACAAGGTTTCTCACTCTCTGAGTATTTGGCTGTGGGTCTCTGTAATTTTCCAATCTGCTGTAGGAGGAAGATTCTCTGATGATGGCTGAACTTTCACAAGAAGAAAATCATATGAACACAACCTGAACAAAGGCAGAAACTGAGTAAACTACTATCAGATGAAAAGATTCCCTGTAGTCCAAAATTAACAAAATTATTGTTGTGAAAATGGCTTTTCCACCAAAAGC